TGTGTTAGGATGATAGTTAGAACACCGGTAGGCTGGTTATCGTCTAGTGGAGTGCTCTAGGGGTTGTGTGTAGTCATGTAAGATAGCATGAGAACTCTTGATCTAGGTTTTCTTGTTTGTTCCTTGTTTGGTTGTGGCTCTAGAGTAGGATCATCTGTCCGGGTGTCTATCTCACCTCTGGTTACACATAGTTATGCATTCCTTGGAGACTTGTTGGTGGTGGTTCAGTGTACCGGTAAGGGTCTAGTAGGCGGTAGTGAATTGTTCGAAAGGTAGATCATGTAGATAGTTTCTTATGCTTATGTGCCTACTTGATTTTCTTGCTTGATTATATGTCGACATAACATGAGGGTTAGGTTCAGGTGAACCTGCTGTGTGTTGTAGGCCAAGATACCTAGTGCGGGCCAGCTCTGAAGCCGTGGGCACAAAGGGCTCAGGGGAGCGGTTGGGTTGAGGCGGTAGGCCAACAAACCCCAGGTAATCCAATCTGATGACTTTGGACCAAGTATACATGCTTGGATGTGTTTTTGGTGTGTGGTATTTTGGGGGAAAACTCACTAAGCCTTGTGCTTACTCAGTTGTTTATGTTTTCAGGTACTATTGTTAATCGTGGGAAGGCGAGGCGTGACTATACACATTCACCAACAACAATGAAGATTTTGTGTTTACTATATTACTCTAAGTTTTAAAACAATGTACTTTGGAACAAATGGTTTTCTCAACTTGGAGTCTAAATATGTGAAATTTTACCTTAATTAAAAATGAAAATTTTGGGTTGTGTAAATGAGACGTTACAGCTTGCCATTGAAATTTTACAATGACCAGAGATCAAAAGGATGAAACCTTTAAAAATAATAATTTTTTTAATATTTTAAAGAAAAGAAACTAAACCAACCAAACAACCTACATCTAGTATGTGATTATCAATTAATCCTAGTATTTAGAATCACAAACAAAACACCTTGAATCAAAAGCACCCCGTCAATTAAAATAATGGAATATGCATTAAAAACCATGAAAGATAAAATCATGTATATGATATGACAACTAATAGTAATTCATTTAAAAAATATCTATCTTTTTTATCATGCAAGCAAACGATAAACAAATATGGAGTTGTAATAGTTATAAATAGGATACTTGGCAAAGTACAGGAGTAGAAAATGGACATGTGAAAAAAAAAATACTTTTACATTTTAGTTACTTGTTTACATTAAAAAACTAGCCGAATATCCACGCGTTGCGCATGGTAAAATTGTATGGTTAAAATTTGGCAAGTACATATTGAAAGTAATTATGTTATTAATACTAACATGAAATAATATGTTATAACATTTATTAAAATCAGATCATTTAGTGGAAAATGTAAAGACAAACACATAGTAGAAGGATACTTGGCAAAGTACAGGAGTAGAAAATGGACACGTGAAAAAAAAATATACTTTTAGGCATTTTAGTTAGTTGTTTACATTAAAAAAACTAGGCGAATATCCACATGTTGTGCATGGTAAGATTATATGGTGAAAATTTGGCAAGTACATATTGAAAGTAATTATGTTATTAATATTAACCATGAAATAATATGTTATAACATTTATTAAAATCATATAATTTAGTGAGAAATATAAAGACGAACGCATAGTAAAAGGATACTTGGCAAAGTACAGGAGTAGAAAATGGACATGTGAAAAAAAATATATACTTTTAGGCATTTTAGTTACTTGTTTACATTAAACAACTAGGCCAATATCCACGCGTTGTGCATGGTAAAATTATATGGTTAATATTTGTCAAGTACATATTGAAAGTAATTATGTTATTAATACTAACCATGAAATAATATGCTATAACATTTATTAAAATCATATCATTTAGTGGCCGCTACTCGCAGCTGACATTTAAATAAAACTAAATATAGATCTCGATTTAATGTTACGTTTAACGTTATGATTAACTAATTTAGAAATTACTTATTCGATATTTTTTTGTAAGGAAACATAATGTAATTTATAAGGTTATGTTATTTTAACAATTATTATTGTGAATGGTTATAATTTAAAAATCATTTTTTTGAAAAAAAAAATCAATTATTTTAAAAAAATTATATGTGAATATTTTTAGTTAATTCGATATGTTTCTATTTAAAACATTTAAATATTTTAACTGTTTTAAAAAATAATTTTAAATAAATTTATGTTTATTTGATATTTTGATTTATATTTTGGATTTAATATAATATTAAAATTAATATTTTAAGTATTTATATTGATAATTTAAAAAATTTACCATTGACAATATTTCACGTTTAATATAGATAGATAGATAGATAGATAGGAGGGGTGTTGGTTCCTCTATTAAATAGTTGAAAGTCTTTGCTGCAATTTCTCTCGATATAAAGTATAAACCACCGAAAAGAAATGGAGGTCTCTTTCTCATTTCCCCTCGCAGACATCGTAGTTATCGGAAATTACACAAATGGGGATTCTCTCATGGTGGAAGGGCAAAAAGGATACTACTTCCTTCGGCACCAGTTCTGGTTCGAAAATAACCGAGAAACCTGAGTCTAAGGCCATTGTTTCAACGGAGAAAGCAGCCGAAGAAGTTCCCGACATGAATGGCACGGTGGAGGTCTCTCGACCTGGTCCAAACATGGACGTGACAGTTTTTGAATTCGGTTCTATTGCCGCTTTATCTGATAAGGTAACTCTTGTCGGCTACTGCCCCGTATCCGATGACCTTGAACCCTGCCGTTGGGAGATTCTTCCAGCCGGCGGCTCCGATGCACCTCAATTTCGAGTGGTGTTCTAGTAGATACAGGGAGATCGTTCGATATGATGGTAAAATCTTGTAAGTTTCGTGTTTGACTTGAGAATACTTATTGGTTGTGGACCCATGTAATCCAATTTGATGATTGTGGACCCATTATGCATGCTTGGATGTGTTTGTGGTGTGTGGTATTTGGGGGAATAATCACTAAGCCTTGTGCTTACTCAGTTGTTTATGTTTTCAGGTACTATTGTTGATCGTGGGAAGGCGATGCGTGACTATACACACTCACCAGCAACAATGAAGTTTCTGCGTTTACTATATTACTCTGAGTTTTAAAACAATGTACTTTGGAACAGATGGTTTTCTCAACTTGGAGTCTAAATATGTGAAATTTTACCTTAATTAAAAATGAAAATTTTGGGTTGTGAAAATGAGACGTTACAGCTTGCTATTGAAATTTTACAATGACCAGAGATCAAAAAGATGAAACTTTTAAAAATAATATTTTAAAGAAAAGAAACTAAACCAACCAAACAACCTACATCTAGTATGTGATTATCAATTAATCCTAGTATTTAGAATCACAAACAAAACACCTTGAATCAAAAGCACCCCGTCAATTAAAATAATGGAATATGCATTAAAAACCATGAAAGATAAAATTATGTATATGATATGACAACTAATACTAATTTATTTAAAAATATCTATCTTTTTTATCATGCAAACAAACGAAAAACAAATATCGAGTTGTAATAGTTATAAATAGGAACTATATAGAGATATATACCACACTTTTATTAGACATTTCATTAAACATCCTTCATTCAATCCCCGAATCATCAAATTTCAGTTGCAAATTCTAAGCATTTACAATCCCTTCCCTAAAAAAAATACTTTTACATATTTGCATAAGCGACTTTTATGGGAGTAACAATCAAATTAAAAAAAAAATGTAGAACAAAATTTTTTAAAAAAAAAACTAATGGAAGTGATAAGTGATAAGTGATCAATGAGACCCCTTCTTTTAGATTGTTTGATTCCAATAGTTGAACATTATTTGCACCAATGGAAAATTTGATCCAACACTTATAACTAAAAGATCAAAACACTATTCCATTCCTATCATAAGAAAGAAAAAATAAAAGATGATGGATGAATACATGCTTATTAAACCTTTAAATCAAAATCAAAGAGATAAAGCATGATCAATTCAAATAGGGTAGATAAACAAGATGATGCTATGAAAGTTCTGATGATTATACCGTCCTTCATGTATCAAGGGTTTGTTGTACAAAATAAGGTATTAGAGGGTTTAGAGAGAAATATTTTTCAGAAAATAAAGACGACGAGAATGAGACACATACAAAATGGCACCATTTACGCGGCCACTGATAAAGTGGACAAAAATGATTAGGGTTTAAGAGAGAAAAATAAGACAAAGATGTGGGCGACCATCCTTATCGACCTACGAAAACGCTAATTAAGTTGGCTAATTTATAGGGTTCAACTTGGAAACTTAGTAAAATGAGGAATGATGATGATTGTTTGGAGTGAGTGGGAGATGTAAAGACAAACGCATAGTAGAAGGATACTTGGCAAAGTACAGGAGTAGAAAATGAAAATGTGAAAAAAAAAATACTTTTCGGCATTTTAGTTACTTGTTTACATTAAAAAACTAGACGAATATCCACGCGTTGCGCATGATAAAATTATATGGTTAAAATTTGGCAAGTAAAGTAATTATGTTATTAATACTAACCATGAAATAATATGTTATAACATTTATTAAAATCATATCATTTAGTGGCCGCTACTCGCAGCTGACATTCAAATAAAACTAAATATAGTTCTCGATTTAGTGTTACGTTTAACGTTATGATTAACTAATTTAGAAATTACTTATTCGATATTTTTTTTTTGTAAGAAAACATAATGTAATTTATAAGGTTATGTTATTTTTAACAATTATTATTGTGAACGGTTATGATTTAAAAATCATATTTTGGAAAAAAAAAATCAATTATTATAAAAAATTATATTTGAATATTTTTAGTTAATTCGATAGATTTAGTTTTATATTTAAAACATTTAAATATTTTAAACTGTTTAAAAAAATAATTTATGTTTATTTGATATTTTGATTTATATTTTGGATCTAATATAATATTAAAATTAATATTTTAAGTATTTATATTGATAATTTAAAAAATTTACCATTGACAATATTTCACATATTCAATATAAACTAGAAAGATGACCCCCGTGTTGCGGGAGTCGGAAGGTGTCGTTTTTGTGTGCAAGTATAGTATATTGTTCTAATTGGTAGCTACAGTAAAATATGTTGCTATTGTCTACGTTTCGCCCATTTACAAAAACACATTTGTAGTATGCTATGATATAATGACCCCTTTGTGTTGCAAAGTAAATAGCAAGTGCGGCAGCAACACCCTATTAAAAAAAAGTAAAGTATTACCTCTCGGATATTAAATAAAGCAATGGCTAAGGCTAGGTTATTGATAGTCAAACATTCAAAAATAGCCCGTGTCGACTATAAGTTGGACACATGACATGATAAAAGAAGTGTTAATAGTTGCTGCTTGTAAGTTTTATTTAATCCAGTGCACATTTTCAATAGTGTCTTCCTAGATATAAAAAAAATACATATGTTTTCATTTAGCTTGAAATGGAAATTGCATATCATGTCATACCCCTATTCAATTGAAATAAAAATTTAAGGAATTGATAAACAAATCAATTACAATAGTACATGTGGTTATTGGGAAACAAAGAAATTACACATCATCAGTAACAAAAAAAAAAATTAATCAGAATACAACTTCAAATACCGAACCTATGTTATAATATTTTTATAAGAAAAAGAACGAATATCCATGAATATAATGCATTCACGTTCATGAAATTAGAATTACAACTAAAAAAACTACCTGATATGCAAAGTAGAAAACATTTTTTATGCCAACTTTGATGTTGTAGAAGCTATATGGGTGACAATTTCAATAACTTGGACCTACAATTTATAATAGAAAAACAATACACAAATAAGAAACTAGAGTCTAATAACTTATACATAAATGAAAAGAGTCTAGTAAGCTATCGGAAGATTAGAATAAGACAGTGAGATAGTGAGATAACATATATAAATTCAAGCTCCTCCACTCTTTGCTTCCCAATTGGTAGCTGAGGGTAAAATCGGAAATTACATCATCTTTTTCCCATATTACACCATTACAATTACCATGAGAAATGACATTTAGATTATCATGATTCATGAACATAAAATCTTGAATTATTATTGTACCTCTAATTGACGACACTCCCGACCGATAAGAGGTGCCTCCGTCCAACCTCGATAGTATTGAATGTTCCTTCCATCCAAGCATAAGAGTTGCATTGCTTTCTCTGGTTTTTCCATATGAAGGGGAAGATGATGAGATGCCCAAACAGTTACATATATAGAATCAACCGATGATTCTTCTATATCAAGTCTCATAGGTCCCCCAATATGCACAAAATGCCCAACCTAATTCATAACAAATTACAACAATAATCACCACAAAGATTACAAAAATACATAATAAAGGGTATATTTGGAAGATCACATTGATTCTGTAAGTCCTTGGTTTCAACTCGTGAAATTTCAATGTTTTCAGCAACGTTTCGTGTGACACTGATGGATTTGAAATATACATACCTTGCAAAATCGAACAAACTAATAAGGCAACAGTCCACTCACCATCTTACTCCTCATCTCAAACTTTTCACTACAATTTTAGCTCATTATAATTAAAAACTTAAAAATGAAAAATGAATTACGGAAATGGAAATTAAAGAGCGTACCCTTTCAAATCAGAATCTGAAATCACCTTTAGGATGTGATCGTAACCCTCAGGTTTCTTCGCTTCAGGGTCCTAGATGAAGTCCTTGTCATGTGAAATTTCAACTTGTCATCTAGGACCTCTGTCATGGGAAAATTATTATTACAAGTTTATATATACATATGTATATCTAACAACTAAAAAAATAATATCATATCGATTTTGAAGCTGTCATATGTGACCTCCTAAATGACGAATGATATACTTGACTTGAACCTCTATTAGTTCTGGTGAAAAAAATTGATTTTCCTTCTACACCAGAGAACAGGGGAAATCCACATAAAAAATCCATTTCACAACATGAAAAGCAGAAAGTATCCATTTCATTCCTATTTTATTGATTTTAAGACGTTATTCAAGTTGACTTCATCTATTATTCACTTTGACATATGTAACTTTTATGTACAAATACTATTTCTTAGCTACTAAATCGTTTTTTTTTAAATTACATCAAATTACCTATATTTTACATTCACAACATTCCATCTATAATTTATAAAGATACAGTCACTATATATCAGTTAGAAAACCTATGAAAATTTGGTAAGTTTGTAGGCCTGATCACAATAGAAAAACAAACATGCTTGATTAAAATATATAAAAGTTGTTTAGGAAGACAAAAAATAAAGAATTAAGTATAAATTCATAACAACTTATTAGAAACCAAACATGCAGAATGAAAAAATGAATGGAAACAAATAAATAAGCACACAACTGATATGAGATAAATCCACTTGACTGAAATTTGTCAATGGATTTTGTGGTAATAAACTTGTGAACTACAATAAGAAACAAAAAATACCATCTTGTACCGTATATATGTAATTTCCTTAGCTGCACAGTGACAGTTCTTTCTTTGGTGGAGAAACCATAAATTTTAGAAATTGAAAGCAACATCTGGAGACATAATAACATATGTCATATAAGCATCAACTTGTATCTTCTCAAACTTTTAAAATAAACATGATATATAATTCTCACCTGAATCTTGGATAATGATATTATGACATCAAAACCTGAAATAGAACCACTGACAACCCAATATTGACATGATTTTGATGTATTAGAAGAGTCCCTTGCCACAGGCTTCTCCACTTCTATGAAACAACTTAATTGTTTCAAAATGTATGTATAAATCTCTTCAACTGTAGTGATATTTTCACTATGGGCAACTGGTAATAAAAAAAAAACCAAAATTGATAAATTGATCGATTTTATCTTTTTGAGTTTCAAAGTGAATGATAAGTTAATAGATAGAGATTTCGAAATGTTTTTCAATTTACAGAAAGAAATGGAAAGGGAATTTCAGTATATTAGGCAAAAATAATACTTCAACCATTAGAGCTAACCATGTATCTGTCGCCCCTGCACTTACCAGACAACCAAAAACAATTGAAGAATAAAAAAATTGATTAAACTCCTAATAACATTAGAGATTTCTCTGGTGAGGTCAAGAAATTTACCTTGGGTAAAGAGTGTTTAGTCGATTTCTGCTCCATGATTGTTCAGATGATGGAAAAATAGAAGAAATTTATGAAACCAAGCAATCAGAAGCCTTGATGCAGAAAAGGAAAAAAGATAAATAACATGAATTTAGATGACAAAAATAAAACTGAAGTTACTTGAAAACAATCAGAAGCCGGACCCACGGAATTAGAAGCCATGAGCGGAACCTGCAGCAAACACCAATAACAATCAGAAGCCATTAATGGGTAGAATCGATTTCGAAAAAAACAGGTTATGACCACACCTGGAGAAAGAGAAGACGAAATTTGAAATCAATCCAAAGAAATTCCAGATAAACAAAGGTGAAGAAGGAAAACAGAAATTAAAAGCAAAAGGGGGTCGACGACAGTGCGTTTGTGGTCTCCGTACACCTCCAAACGGCAAATCCACGGGTAATCCTTCAACAGATTTAGGGGCTCGAAGATGGATCGTATGTCATCATCATGATCGCCGTCGTTCTATTCCCATCGTCACCGACAAATATTGTAGAAATTAACATGGAGCGGTGGGAAGCACGGATCAGGCAGTGGTTGGAGGTGGAGGGAGCACAGGATAGAAGCATCGTCTGTTTCTTTAAAAAGGAACAACAACAGATGTAGAAGGCGTGAACCAGAACCTTTGGCCGTGACAACCCCGAATCCTATAAAGCCTGAGATGAAGAAGAAAAGTAGAGAAAGAAGCGATCGGGCTCAATAGAGAAGAAGTGAGAAGAAGAATCGAGAGTGTAATAAGAATAAGAATCGAGAGTGTAATAAGAATAGAGAGAGATGAAGCTGTGGCAGTGATATGGATGAGTACATAGAGAATAGATGGTCGGTGTAGAAGGATCTGGACGAATTGTATTTTCCAACACAAAAGAAGTGGGCTAGATCTGCCAATAGTTTACTGTAGGATAAAAATGCAGATGAAGCAAACTATAGGGACCAGGAATGACAGAAATGAGCAATCTAAGTAGAAGGGCTGAAATTGACAAAAAAGGGTGGTTGTTTACTGTTACAATCTTTCATAAACTTTAATATATATAGTAGAAAGGTTACCCGCTACGTGGGGGCCAGAAGCTTTCACTGTTGTTTGCGAATCGATAAATATGACAGACGTAGAAAGTGCAAGGATGAAAAGCCCGGACTTTGACCCAGACCGTTTTTTTTATGTTTTTATGAAAAAATATAAAAGTTTTGACTGCAAGGACCAGAAGTGTCAATATGGCTAAAGAATTAAAGGGGTAGGAATTAGCAACTTTTTAGAAAAAGGATCAAAGTTGTCAAACCGTTAAAGTTTTGTGGCCAAACTTTAAAGATTAAAAGGTTCCTAAAAAGTGTAAAAATATTGATTGTAAGGACCAAAAGTGTCAAAATGGTTAAAGAATGAAGAGCAAAGTTGCCAAAAAACATCCAGTTTTTATGAAAAAATGTAAAACTTTTGACTGCAAGGACCAGAAGTGTCAAAATGGCTAAAGAATTAAAGGGGTAGGAATTTGCAACTTTTTAGAAAAGTAATCAAAGTTGTCAAACCGTTAAAGTTTTGTGGCCAAACTATAAATATTAAAAGATTCCTAAAAAATGTAAAAATATTGGTTACAAGGACCAAAAGTGTCAAAATGGTTAAAGAATGAGGAGCAAAGTTGCTAAAAAACATCTAAATTATTATTCCTAACTTTGAAGCCCAATAATAATACAGGAACCAATTCTGCCAAAAAAAATGACAAATTTACTATTCCTTTTCTTCGTAACTTTAATATATATACATAATAACAGACAGATAGATAGATGAGAGAGATATACAATATAAATAGATAGATAGATAGATGGGAGGGGTGTTAGGTTCCTTTATTAAATAGTTGAAGGTCTTTGCTGCAATTTCTCTCGATATAAAGTATAAACCACCGCAAAGGAAATGGAGGTCTCTATCTACTTCTCATTTCCCCTTGCAGGCATCGTAGTTATCGGAATTTACACAAATGGGGATTCTCTCATGGTGGAAAGGCAACAAGGATACTACTTCCTCCGGCACCGGTTCTGGTTCGAAAATAACCGAGAAACCTGAGTCTAAGGCAATTGTTTCAACGGAGAAAGCAGCCGAAGAAGTTCCCGGCATGAATGGCGCGGTGGAGGTCTCTCGACCTGGTCCAAACGTGGACGTGACAGTTTTTGAATTCGGTTCTATTGCCGCTTCATCTGATAAGGTAACTCTTGCCGGCTACTGCCCCGTATCCGATGACCTTGAACCCTGCCGTTGGGAGATTCTGCCAGCCAGCGGCTCCGATGCACCTCAATTTCGCGTGGTGTTCTAATAGACACAGGGAGATCGTTCGATATGATGGTAAAATCTTGTAAGTTTCGTGTTTGACTTGAGAATACTTTTTGGTATTGTGTAATTCACTGCACTTGTTAAAACCCTTGAAAAAACCCTAATTTTGTTAGTCATTTGCGGCTTAATTACGTTATCATCAACACGATGTTCGCTCAGAAATCAGAATTACCAGTATTTTTTTAAGTATCTATACAATTTGATCCTATTATTGAATAATCTGAGGTTATTTAAGACTCTGCCTACTTGATATTTAATTTTCTGAGTCAAATCGAAACATGAAACTCTTGGAATCGAATCAGTCCCTATGTTCTGTCAATGCCAGATTTTCAAGAGAACTCAGTTCCTCATTCATGTCTTGATCCTAAAAGGCAATGCACCTGAAAGTATAACTCATTTGAAACCAATCAGCTAGGTTTTAGCTTTTTGAAGCTTTGTTATGTGTTCTTCATATACTGATGTTGAGAATTAGAAGGCTTCCTAAGGCGGAGGAATGGTGAATTCCATCCATATGGAATCTATACCGATTCTACAGGACTAAATTCCATCAATTTGGCGATCAAATAGGCCATTGGGTGGAATCTTGAATTCCAATTCCATCATACCCCATCGGAATGTATGAACTAGATGCCTAAACATGATCTTCTCGTTGTGGATGATTTTGTCAAAAACTTTGTTTTTCCTTCCTTCAATCAATTCGGGTTCCTTTATCTCTCTAAACGGTAAAACGCTAAAAGGATGAAGAAATGAAGGTAGTAAGAGCATATCCGATCATGGACCTAATGTATAGTTTTCTTGCTCTGCGATGTTATCTTTCCATTAAATTTATCAAAACATTAAATTTATCAAACAAGCTGTTATTAGAGGATCCACAAATGTAGAGCTTTTAGTGAAACAAATTCATGAAAAAACTTAATATGAAAAGCTTATTATATGTCCACAACTAGAGAGATTTTTCAATTTACTAGTTTAAGGGGCCCACTAATTTTGTATTGAAAAACTTTCACAAATGGTCCTTTAGGTTTATTGTATTTCCTTGAAATGGTTCCTATGTAACTTTTTTCCCTGGTCCTTGTGGAGCAAACCTTGCACACAAATGTTCCTTACCGGGAATGTTTGTTAGATGGATCCGTTAAGTTAAAAGGATTTGGGAAAATGACTATTTCTGTCATTTTGTGAAACTTGCTTAGGGACCATTTATGAAATTGTACACAAGGACCATTTGAAATATTACAAGGGAAATTGTCAAAAAACTTCCAATATTTACGAAAAAGTTACACTTTAGTCCCAAAAAAAAATTTTGAACGAAAAAATCCTGAAAACCGGCAAAAATTTACAGTTTGACCATTTTTGACCGGTTGAAACCGGTACCAAATTAATTTGGGACAATTTCGTAAATTAACCCAAAATATTTGGACTTTTCTGTAAACAAAAATATTAAGACTTTTTCAGTATTGTTAATTAAACATATAAATGCATTTAAATGAAAAAATAATGACATTGTTTAAGGGTGGAGGTGGAGGAGATGGTGATGCTTTTAACATTGAAATCATGAATTTTTGTTTGTATATTTTTACTTTGTATATAGTCATTTCACATTTGTTATTATTGTTTTCAATTCAGAATATTAATACTTAACAATTTAAAAGAAATTGTATATTTGTAAAATTGTTTATAAATAATTTAAGGTAGAAGGATTTATCAGTTTGTATATAAAATTGTTTAAGATAAAATGATTACTTTCCAAATCCAACAGATTCACTACAAACATCTACATAGATAGGTAGTTCATATCAAAATTCAAAAGTATTAATTACAATATCTTGTTTAATAAAAAGTAATAGGACATGTTTTTTGGATTAATACTTTTGAATTATTCTTATTACTTTTTATTAAACAATATATTGTAATTAATATTTTTGAATTTTGATATGGACTACCTATATAGATGTTTGTAGTGGATCTGTTGGATTTGGAAAGTAATCAATCTACCTTAAACAATTTTATATATAATGTGAGAAATTCTTCTACCTTAAACTATTTATAAACATGCAATTTCTTTTAAATTGTTAAGTATTAATATTCTGAATTGAAAACAATAATAACAAATGTGAAATGACCATATACAAAGTAAAAATATACAAGCAGCAATTCATGATTTCAATGCTAAAAGCATCATCATCTCCTCCACCTCCACCCTTAAACAATGTCATTATTTTTTTCATTTAAATGCATTTATATGTTTTATTAACAATATTAATAATACAAGTTCAAAAAATAGTATTCTTATTTATATTTTTAATAATAATAATAAGGGTTTTTTTTGCAGAAAAGTCATAATATTTTTGTTTACAGAAAAGTCATAATATTTTTGTTTATAGAAAAGTTCCAATATTTTGGGTTAGTTTATGAAATAGTCCCAAATTAATTTGGTACCGGTTTCAATCGGTCAAAAAGGTTCAAATTGCAAATTTTTGCTGGTTTTCAGGATTTTTTTGTTCAAAAAAAAAAATCTTGGGACTAAAGTGTAACTTTTCCGTAAATATTGGGACTTTTCTGAAGATTTTCCATATTACAATGTTAGTCTCTTACTTTTTTCTTTATACATTTTTGGCCCTCTTTTTTAATTTTTTTTAATTCAAATTTCTTTTAAAAATTTTCTTTAATTATTTTCACAACTTTGTTATTATATATTTTTTTATAGTTAGGACTTTAGAAATTAGCTTTTACAACATTGTTTTACATGAAATCTTTTTATGAAATATATTTATTTTTACATGAAATATAATATTTATATACATAAATAATTAAAACTTATAATTTTGAATCATCATACAAATATATTTTATTTAATATATACATAATTTTTGTTGTTTAAACTTTATCAAAAATATTCAAACTACAATACATAATTAAATATATTTTTTTAATTTTTTATCTAAAAAGTTTGAAGTATAAAGACATCATTTTATTAGTTTTTAAATTTTACATGATGTAATTTTTAAGATTTATCTTCATTTATCTTATACAAATATATTTATTTTTATAAAAAACAGTGATGTTTATTATAAAAACTACATTATTATAGAAATAATAGTATGCTGTTATTTTATTTTAAAACTTGAAGTATGTGATTTCGAGTTAAAGATAAAAATATGTTTCGGTTTTCGTTTCATAATAAAATAGCAGCATACCATTATTTTTATAATAAAGTATTTTTTTAATATAATAACTTGTCATATTTTTTTATAAAAATAAATATATTTGTATAAGATAAATAAAGATAAATCTTAAAAATTACATCATGTAAAAATTAAAAAGTAATAAAATGATGTCTTTATACCTCAAATTTTCTTAGATAAAAAATAGAAAACAAAAATATTTAATTATGTATTGTAGTTTGAATATTTTAGATAAAGTTTAGACAACAAAAATTATTTATATATTAAATAAGATATATTTGTATGATGATTAAAAATTATAAGTTTTAATTTTTTATTTATATAAATATTACATTTCATGTAAAAATAAATATACTTCATAAAAAGATTTCATGTAAAACAATGTTGTAAAAACTATTTCTAAAATCCTAAGTTTAATATATATATATATATATATATATATATATATATATATATATATATATATATATATATATATATATATATATATATATATATAATACAAAGTTGTGAAAAAATTAAGGAAAATTTTTAAAAGAAATTTGAATTAAAAAAAAGGTAAAAATGAGGGTCGAAAATATAAAAAGAAAAATATAGGAGACGAACATTGTAATATTTCAAATGATCATCGTGTAAAATTTCATAAATGGTCCTTAAGCAAGTTTCACAAAATAACATAAATAACCCTTATCCAAAAAAAATTTAACTTAACGGATCCATCTAGCGGACGTCTACGGTAAGGACCATTTGTGTACAATGTTTGCTCCATAAGGAAAAAGTGTAATAGAGACCATTTCAGGTAATCACCACATCATTTTCCACACTATTGTCCTGCGAGGTAATCGCCACATCATTTTCCTCCCATCCCACAAAACTAGTGTGTGTTATACCACACTTTTATTTTTCTTTTATTAATCATTTTTTAATTGAATAAAATTTAATTATATAAAATTTAATTATATGAAAATAATAAAACGAAAGTACTTCATTAATTAAAAATATACATAATAAATTAAAAATATAAAAAAAACATAAAAAAAAAAACATAATTGAAACATAATATAATAGTACGTAAAGCCTAATCATCGTAATCATCGTTGCTTGTCATGTCATCATAATCATCGCTTGAATCCTCTTGAAATATGTTCGATTTGTCATCTGTATTGTCGAGCAACTCGTCTTCAAAATAGTCGACAACGGAATTCACTTGAGCATCGAAGATGTGTTCCACCAAAACGACACGAAGGTTGTGGTGTCCAACTCGGTCGTATACTTCCCCTTTGTTCGCCATGTACGTTGGCGTATCAATACATACTCCTTCGACGACAAATTCTCATTTTCATTGTAGCGACAAATCACCCTTCCATCGTCTTCTATAATCATATTATGTAATATGATGAATGTGTGCATCAAGCTACTTATTCGTTTGTGCTCGAATAATCGTTTCGGTACTGCGAGTATTTGCCATCGTCTCTTCAGAACACCAAAGGCTCGCTCGATATCCATCCTAACAGATTCTTATGTCGACTTAAACTTTATTTGCTTTCTTTTATTTAGACATGAGAATGATTTCAAAAATGTAGCTAACTCGGGATATATCTCATCAGATAGATAATACTCACGCTTATATGATGTCCCATTTGCTTGACACATCTTACAATTTCTCAAGGTAGATGTCGTTGAATATCTGCGGTTGGTTTAAAACGTTGATGTCGTTGTTTGCACCCGATGGGCCAAAAAGTGCATGTCGTATCCAAAGATCATAACACGCAATTGCTTCTAAAATTATTGGTGGCTGCTT